GTCTGTCTGAACACGCATCACGCAAAAACATGTGTTCTGATTTGAATGGGACTTTCACTGACAGATAGTTGATGTTATAAAGAGTAACTTAGGCTACTTTTATTTTAGGGTTCCGCAAAATAATAAATAATAAAGATTAAATATTTATAAATACAAAAGTTTAAATATTTGTTTTTATAGGATAAGTGTGACAAACGAACACATAGCTTATCTGATGGTACGTGGTTGCTGCGACCCAGACATATATATATATATATATATATATAGATATAGATATATACTATAGAGCGGGCATTGGGAACATTTATATACAAAAACTTTGCTAGCTAGTGCGCTTTGTGGCGCCCTCTAGCTAAAAATAGCAAAACAACGCTAAGCATTTATTAAGACAGCATTTTAGCTATTCCCCAGTAGGTGACACTGATAAATATAACGTCGTTTTAGGAATGTTACCGTTTCGATATCAAAGTATCGATAATGTTGTTGAAGGTTACTAAGTTTGAAATGCTTTTCGATATAATAATAGGGAATAACATAATTGTTTTATTGTATATATCTATTTATCATGACTTCCATCACACTAAAAAAATCATATTAACTTTTTACGCCGCTTTAGTGTCATGTTATAAAATATTTATTTTCCAATAACTAACTACACTTCACTTCTAACGTTCTCTACACTCACCATACGAAACACTGCAGCGTTAAGCTACTATTTTACGCTGGTATTCTGGGAGAGCGTGGTCCTTCCCCTGTCCAGTCGACCCATTCGTGTTTCAACTATACTACTAATATAGCTGCAGCATGGCTCTACCACGTAACAAAATATGGCTATGTCAAGGTTAGGTAACGAGATTCCATTTATTTAAAAAGTCTTTTACATCATAAATGTGCTTTAATAATAGCCAGCTTGTGAGTTTGGTTTTAAATTTACCAATTTCTGTCTCTTCTTTAACTATGGGAAGTTTATTAAAACTTATTTACTCATCGCGTAACAGCCCTTTTGATAAAATGCGTTTTTCGGTATACAGTCTAAAACTAGCCTATCAGGTTTTCTAGTGTTACGCAAAGATACATCGGACGATTTTTGTATATATTACGTAAAGAAGGTTGGTCAAACGGTACTAGACAACGAAACAATGGTGTCACTAATGCCATATTTATGAAAAATACCCTTATTTTTTAAGGTCTCAAAACACAAATAATACCTGTCTAAGTAGCCACAAAAAAAAAACTTAAGATACATTAAAAAAGTTCATTTCAGGCCATTTTCGACCCCCTTCTCACCTCAGCAACTCAGTTCTTCTACCGTTAAAAGTTGTGAGATCCATATAATACCATGTCGGTTAATTTATTCAGTCCCTACTTAAGGGTCCTTCTGTCTTAACTTATTACGTAATTAGTTAACCTAAAAACATCTTACAGTGACCATATCAATATTAAAAATCTTTTATGTTTTAAATAAATAGATTGACTTGGCAATCGCACTAAACAATCTACTGATCATGAAAGTACAATGTATCTCACAAGTAATACTTACTATATTAAATTAGATTGTTTAGTGCGATTGCCAAGTCAATTTATTTATTTCAAACATAAAAGATTTTTAATATTGATATGGTCACTGTAAGATGTTTTTAGGTTAACTAATTACGTAATAAGTTAAGACAGAAGGACCCTTAAGTAGGGACTGAATAAATTAATCGACTTGGTATTACATGGGTCTCACAACTTTTTACGGTAGAAGAACTGAGTTGCGAGACTTGGTTTTTTTACACGTTATGTTTTAGACAGCATTTATTATGTACTGGATTCATGTCATAAAAATAATTATGTAGCTTCATAGTAAGCGTTTTGTTCAATTACGAACAACGGAACGTCATTTTTATCGACAAGTTACATAATCTGTGGTCATCGATCGACGCTATTGATTGTCACCCGGCAATCTTATGTGTTTCACTCGTTGTTGTGGATTGTGATATGCACTGTACTATTTTAGATTTTCTTGTGTTGTTTTGACCTCGGCATTGTTTTACAGACTGATAACAACTACTTGTAACGATTATTCTGTGCTTTTGATTTCTAGACACCGATTTTGCATCTTGTATATTTGTGTGTATTTTATAAACACTATGAATATGAATAGTCGAACATTGGAGACTGAAAGACAATATGTTTCAAGTGACTAACTCTTCAGCCAGGATAGAGGTGTTCAAACCAAAAAAAAAAAGCCTTGAAGTCTTTCAGGAAAGACTTCACGTGTGATGATAATTATAACATCCTTGTCTTCTACACTACACGCTGTGGAAGTTAGAGCAATATAGGTGTGGTTTTCATTGAATTGTCGGTCAAAATCTGTCGTCGAAGCGAGCCAGCCTCCGCGAGACGGCTTTGACACAAGGGGTGCGCTTTGAGAGGTCCTATTTTTTGGGTAAGGATCTGAGAGAAATCGAAATAAGTGGAAACAAGATTACTAATTAGCCTCCTCGCTTATCGCTTACTACACTTTTAGGGTAGGTCGCAGTCGGGTAAAAGGTAGTTGTTAATTTTAAGCTCAAAAGTATTGTTGACGTTATTATAAAAAATTGTGGCTATTTAGATATGATTTTCAAACGGGATGATGTTTACAACAGAAAAACAAACCAATCTAGCTTAGTTTATTTTGAGACATGAAAAATAAAAGTCAAGTCCAGCTCCCATAAAAATTTGGCCATTATTCTTTCTTTTTAAATGAACACCTGCTTCTATTATGTACATGCCTTGTAACGTTAGGATGTTGAGATCCTTAAATAAGTGCTTACATTATTGATACCATTTAGCCCCAGTTAAGGCTCTTAAACACTTTTTTGATTTATAAAAGATGTTTTTGAATACATAATAAAATACATACACAATAATAATGACAAAGAGTTCCATTTTCAAAATTTGAACTTATTTTTTTATTATATTGTTTACAAACTAAAAAACTTTCAGTGTCGCCCGCATATGTTATAATGAATAATACTTCTGTAAATTGTTACCTAAAACTTAAAGCCAACAACTCCAGCTTGGAAGAAAATGTTACTTTTAGCGCAACTAAGTATTCATAGTTTATACTTCGCCCAATTTTAATTGACTTTACTGAAAAAAAATATTCTATGTGTTCGCGCCAAACGCTGTTGTCGGAATCGACGTCTACGGGGCGCGCGGCTCGGTGCCATACCGGTTTGACAGTTGGATGTGTCGAGCGCGCGCGAGTGCAAGTGAGTCGTCTGCCAGCTGTGCTTGGGACAGCACGCTGTCATTTTTTGTCGGGAACTCGGAATAATTAGGCGCGGCTCGTAAATGTACTGTCTAGGATTTGTGAGTTTGTGACGCGTATTCCTTGCTGTAGAGCTTCCCCGGGACTCATTGAGTTTGACTCGGCCTTTGATATTATAGAAATAACTGTTGCTACGCGAAACGGTAGTGACCTTTGATCCGGACACTCCGTGTTCGTTTTGTGCGTTAACCTTATGAAAAACGAGAGTTAGTGGCTTCTGTAAGTTAGTTAATCGTACGATAGAGTTAATGGACTGTCATCGTGACGAACGAGGAAAGTGACTGTGGACAACGCCGCGGAAGACCTCAATTTGGAGCAGCCTGGAACTCGGCGGCTGCTGGTCGCCTATGCTTGCCAAGGCCCCACGCATTCACACCTCACTGTACACTACTCGCCATCCACTATTACACACACTCATGGCCTGCCCAAGCCTTGGTGCGAAGTTAGCTTCGGATAATGGTAAGTACTACGTGTTTCTAGCTTTCTCCCTTATTGTTTATTGTAATTAGGAAATTCCACGTGGCCATATTGAGGCCCGACCTACATCTGCTCGTGAAGTCTCCGCTGATGGGTCCCGGATGATTGAGCCTTTGGAGGAGCAGCCGTAGGCCGTAACACTACGCTAGTTTGACAAGTAACTTTAAGAGTTGGCGCATTTGATGAGGAATCAAAAATGGTATGACACTTGCTAAATTATTTCTTGCTGACTCAGTTTTGAAAAAAATTTTATTACTTAAATGATTCTAGTGTACCCAAGGCTTTCCTCATGAATGAGATTGTCAAGTGTGAGGGAGACAAAAATCCTATTTCCAGATAGCTTAAGGGTACCACGGGCCATTAATGACAATTTTTCTTGTCTTGATTTTAATTGACAATCTTTTTTAAAAGAGTTTTAATTGGATTCTAAGATTACAACAAATAGGCGAATCTTCTGTTATTAACAAATTTAACTACTTTCGTTATTTTTTGTCGTAATTATCTACATTTTCGATTGACTTTGAGTAAACTTTTTCTTTCACCGCTCCCCAGTAAAAAAAAATCTAGTGGAGTATTTCTCATTGAGGATATATTTCTGATATATTTTTCGATGACATTACGATAATTCAAGTTGTTCAATATACTATAAATCTACACGTTTAAACGCATTGAAAACGCTCATTGCTCATCAATCGCTCGTCGTTTGTGTCGCATTAATCACGCCGCGCCACGCCATTCTTCTATGTCTTCATCCAAAACGGCTTCATTCTGGACGCTAACTTGAATAAAGCTGAGCTGTTTAAAAAAAATAACACCTGAAAATATTGTACATGTATTGTGAAGAAATAAACTTTTGACTAGGCTGTATGAGTATAGATCCCTTTGTCTCCAATTAATTATAAAATATTTGACATTTCAATTTCTTTTTGCCTTGGAAAATAAGACTTGACTACGGCCTTTATGGATTTTGAAGAGATGGAAAGAAGAAAAATAAGATTTGGTTCCGGCCTTTACACTATAAAATTCTATATATTCAAAATAAAAAAGACAAGGCTGTATGGCTTATTTCCTTTGCCTGCTCTCTCGAGCAAATAATAAAAACAACAACATTTTGCCTTGGAAAGACAGAAGTTCAGTCAATAAATAAATAATTCAAATTTGAAAATAACATTGTATGACTTGCAATTATTAAATTCTTAAAGTATCTTGTAAAATTCTCATAATGCCTATAAGTATAGAGGACAGCACTACAGAGAAAATATCACCTATACTGGATATAATTTCAAGACAACTGCTTTCTTCCAATAAATCCATAGAGATCGTTCAAAAAGATTTATTCTATGTTTTGATCATTGTTTTGATGCTAGAAAATGGTTTTTTACCTTTAGTTAATAATTCAGAGGTACTGGATGATGTTAATTCCTACAATATTGATCATTTTATGACTGGGAAGTTGCAATCAGGAATGTATGAAATCAAGTTTGTGATGTCTGGTTTCCATGATTTATCGTTTAAGCTTTTAATCAGCCCATTAGGTGCATTGATGATAGTAAATTTGATTTTCAATGATATAAATGTGGAGACTTATTCTGTTTGCTTACCAGTCAGTCGTTACATTGTTTCTCCACAAGCTACAACAATACCAATGATTTTTCGTGAGTTAAAACATCTTTCAACTACTTTCAAGAATAATGTACTATCGCCAGTTAAAAGTAAAATTCTTAATTATTATGGCTATCCCAGTGCTAGTTTAGTAGGGCTTCCAGATGAAATAATACTTTATAACTTGTTACTTTACTTACCTGTGGCAGATATAATAAGTTTGTCAAAAACTTGTAAGAGATTAAAAGCAGTAGTGGGTACTGAGAGTTTATGGAGGGAAATATTCAAAAGAGATTTCAAAAATATTACTCCCCTTGTAACAAGTGATTGGAAGAGCTCATACAAAAAGGCATATCTGGTTGAGCAAGATAACATTTTTAGACATACAAGTTCCATCAGAAGCATGTCAAACTATCACCCTTTATATATTTATAACCCATTGTATGATGTCATTTGAAGTTTAAATAATCATTTTTAAAAAAGTGTGAATTAAAAATTAAACAGATTGTAAACTTTCCAAATAAAATTAAGAGTGCAAACATTTTTATTTCCTTAGTTATAATAAAAGTTGATATGTAAAACTGTAAATATTTACGCTCTTTGTTGTTAGTTTTTGTTTACCAAACTAAACCTGTTCCTTTGATCACATTGGGGACAAAATTCAGGGTATACAGGCAATTGAAAAAGCATTTATCCTTGCCCATTGAATCTTCAGCTACAAATGGTGACATCTAATTTACTCACATGTCACCATTTTTATATATTTATAGCATTGAAATGCCAATTTAAGAATCTGGAAACTAATTTTTAAAAGGATGTTGGTATCAATTAAGGAATTGATAATTGTAAAAAGATAATAAGTGAAAAGTAACAATGGGATTACTTGTCATTTTAAAATATAGCAACCAACAATTTTTTAGCTAAGGTAACGACTGAAATTTGTGTAATTTTAAACCATGTATATGGTAATGATGGGCCAAGTCAGGTAGACTCAAGCTACTGATTTGCATACCTTGTAGGAACTCATGTCATCTCAGTCCCTGTACATCTGAGAAATACAGGTTTCTTTTGTGTTAGTTATTGTTTTGATTTTGACTGATCAATAAAACAAATTTGTATTTTATGGCTCAGTTTTTATTTTTGATGGTGTTTTTGGAATTGAGAAACATTAGAATAATCAGATTCCATGACATACTAGAGCTGGGGTCTCCAAACTACGTCCTGCGAGCCAAATCCCGCCCGCCAGTGCCATCAATTCAGCATCATTCGACAACAGCTTAACACTAGTGTCATCAATCTGGCCCGTTACAGCCAATGTCTTATTATTGTTACTATTGCTGTGATAAGTTGAAGAAGAAAACACAGAATTAAAATTACTCAGTTTTATTAACTTGCAAGGTAAAACTTAATAACAGAAATGATGACACAGAAAACTTAAGTATCTAAGCTTAAGCATATTAACAACTAACAAATAATTGCAATGAATCTCAGTAATCACAGTAAAACAAAAAACACTAATGAGCTTTATGTCATAGTGATTTTCCACCGACAATAGTTTGTAGTTGTGGATCAATTTTACTTGTACCAATTATTAAAAGAGATCTAAGATGATCTGTAAACATTTTTTGCACACTATAACCTCCTACCAAAAACAGAAAACAACCCATGAGCAAATTTATGCAAATTAACAAATTATCAAATTGTACCAGTGGAAGACATAAAATTCCAACAAAAATGAATTTTGATATTTATTATTAACCGGTTCAGTGCGGGTGACACGCCAGGCGTGCCATCGATTACTTTTGTGTGTGGCGTATGACACGCGAGTCGTGTCATTTTAAAAATCGTTATAACTCGCTCAAATTGCTTTTTTGGAAAATTTATCCAGAACAAAATATTCATTATTTTGCGAGTAGTTCATGCATGCAGCTTCGTTTCTGGATATTTTGAAAATTTGAGAATTTTAGGGGTTGACAACCTTTTTTTAACGTGTACATGGTACTATTTTTACTTTGTGGGTTTTAAATCATGTTATGGAAAAATTTTCTAATAAGTAACAAATAATAGCACTCATTGCGATCGCTCACAAACTCAAGTTGTAAATAAATTTCTGGAAAATAAAGTCTCCTGTTAAAAAAAATATGCGTTTGTCTTAGTTTAATTTTGCTTAAAATGGTTGAACTGCCGTCTTATTAATATCATATGGCCGAATAGACCTACGAAGTACCATGTGCTCTTGTGATATGGTATAAGGTTTATTTTTGCTTGAAACAGTTCGAAACCGTTCATGCATAAAAAAGTTCGCTAATAAATAGTATTTTGTCAATCCGCCGCCGTATATTGCCGGCGTTTTTTTCCTTTTGAAAACACTTGTTTTGCTATTCTTACTAATTAGACGTTTTCAGATCGACTTTACTTTTACATTCGTATAACATTAAATAATATTTAACATTTGTAAATATCAATGAATGATATACCTTATTTTTTTTTCAAATTAAGGTTCTTCGTTGTTTGATATTTACAAATGTTATTATTAGGTGAAAATTTAATTTAATAAAAACCAAGGTTTCCAGGGTGATTTAGCTGTACCTACTTATATAAATGATTTTTTTATAACAACAAAAAATAGTACAAAATGTTTGTAATCTCTACATAAAAAAAGTCACTTTCTTTCAATTTCAAAGAAAACGCGTAAAAAAACACGTAGTTACCCACTAAAAACAAGTATCCTTCCATTTGTAACTTATGTTTGATGTCAAATAAACTTAATTAGGTCTAAACAAGTAAAAAAAGCATAAAAAAGAACATAACATTTACACATGGCGGATGGCACAATAGGCGTGTCATTTTTGTCTGTGGCGCTTAACACGCCCGGCGTGTCATGAAATATTTGTTCGCCGCCACAGCCAAAAGTTGTCGAAAATTGGTGCCGCAACGAATCGGTTAATCATAATCATCACTGCACTGTAAATCAATAATTTCCATTTGGACTTCTGGAGCCAGGGTTTCAATGACAAAATCAAAAAGATTTTTAAAAAGCTTAATTTCATTAGCAATGACATTAAAGTCTGAGAAACAACGTTTTCCACGTTTTCCGATTTCAAGAGCCTCACGAAAGCTGGCGCAAGTTGCAGACTCTTGTTCAGTATTCTCTTTGGTAACATTGCTGCGATTATAGTCCGTGCAAAAAAAAGCTTCAAATTTTTCCGTCTGCAAACTTTTTGTATATTTGGAGTAATTTTGAAGATATTTCGATTCATAGAGTCGTTTAATGTTACATTCTTTGAGAACAGCTATGGTTTCATTAGAAATTAAACATAGTACCTTATTACTGGACTCAATCACAAAATACTGAAAGTTCACTTTGTGGAATATTTTACATTCCAGGCATAGACCACTTCTTTCTACTTGCTACGATCCTTACGTACTTATTTCGCTTCGTCCACTTTCATTATTCCATTCATACATGTTCTATGGTTTAGGGTACTCTTGACCTGGCCTTTTTTCAAGACGTCCCTGATTTGGTCTAGAAATGTCCGCCTAGGTCTACCCCTTCCAACACTTTTATTCACACTCGCCTTATACACTTTTTTCGTCAATCGTTCTTCATTCATTCTCTCGACATGGCCAAACCATCTCAGCATACCTTTCTCAATTTTTGTCACTACATCTTCTTTCAGACCACAACATTTCCTTATCTCACTATTTCTTATCCTGTCACTCAGTTTAACTCCTATCATACTTCTTAATGCTCTCATCTCAACTGCATTTATTCTGCTTTCATGTTCTGCCATACCCAACTTTCACTTCCGTTCATGAGTGTCGGAACCAACACCCCCTCATGCACAGCCAAACGCGCCTTGTTAGATACCTTCCGATTGCTCATAAGGAGTGCAAAGCTCCATTCACCATGTTTCCTGCGTTCACTCTTCTTTCGATATCACTCTCACACTTTCCATCTCTTGTAAACTTTGAACCCAGATACACAAACTCTTTCACCTGTTCAATTTGTTCATTTTCAATCACGATATTGCAGTCTGTCACTGCCTCATCTTTTTCAAACACCATCACTTTTTGTCTTCCTTACATTCATCTTCATTCCCTTTCTAACAAAAGCTCCACTCATAGCAGTTACCATCTCCTGCAACTCCTCAGCCGAAGACGCAAGTAATAGTTGGTCATCAGCATAGAGAAAACATTTGACGAGTAACTCATTCATTCTCAACCCACTTTCATTCTCTTTTAAATCCGTCAAACAATTGTCCATGAACAGATTAAACAGCCACGGTGACGCTACACATCCCTGTCTAACACCTTTTTCGATATTAAACCATTCAGTGTATGCCCCGTTTATCCTTACACAACCACTAGAATCCCTATAAAGAGATTGCAATGCTCGTATGAGGATACGATGGGGGGCACTGCAAATTTCGGGAATCAAGGAAGTGACACAACATTACTATTTAAAAATGTATTTATTGCTTTTCGAAGTATTCTCCGCGAAATTTGACACATTTTTCCATACGATGGAACCAATCATTGAAGCAACCATTCCATTTGGAAGTTGGGGTCTCCAAAATGGCCGTTTTGTAGGCGTCTACAGCTTCTTCAGGTGATGAAAATCTCTGTCCACGCAATTTATTCTTTATTTTAGGGAAAGTATAGAAATCATTAGGGCTTAGGTCGGGGCTGTACGGCGGATGGTCTAATAATTCTATGTTTTCTTGCTCTAAAAACTCTTTTGTTCTGTGTGCGGTGTGAGAACTCGCATTGTCGTGATGGAGGATGATGCGGCGGTTGCAGTTCTCTTTACGGAGTTCAGAAACGACCTGTGGCAAACAAATGCTAGCATACCATTCTGCATTAACCGTTCTTTGTCCCTCAAGAGGAATAGTCGTAACATGGCCGGTTTTGGAGACAAATGTGGCCACCATTTTTTTTGCAACACTCCGTGAACGAACAATTTTTGTTGGCTTTAACTCATTTTCGAACACCCAAACTCGTGACTGGTTTTTTGTTTCGGGTTCGTACGCGTATATCCAGGATTTGTCACCTGATACGATGTTGTATACAGCATTTGAGGATCCTGCGTGGAATCTTTCGAGAGTTCTGACGCACCAAGTAACGCGAGCCGCTTTTTGCTGCAGTCACGGATCTTGGAATTGAGAACTTCTGTTGGGCTACGAACATCTTTCAAATCGAGCACACTCGACCGTTAAGTATGATTGGGTCGGTTCATTGATTTTCGAGAGAATAAAGTCATTTACGACTAATTCTTGAAGGTCATTTTCTAAAACGATTTTCATTGCCAAGAATAATTATTCTTCCATTGTCTTGTGACATAATATATATGCCATTTGAGCAACAACTACAAAATGCCGGTTTTCATGTGCAGATAACGAAAGAGGCCGCGGTGGTGGCGGCCCGCCAACTATATTTTCTTTGGTTGCGCTTAAT